ATCCGCACCAGCGAACAGTTCGCAGCGCCACCAAGGGACTTATCTATGGCGCGCTCACAGCAGCCGCAGCCCGCCCGCCGCCACCAGCAGCGCGCGCAAAGCCCAAGAAGACAGCGAGGAGTTCGAGCCGGAGGAGCGCTCGGGCACCCGGGCCGGCGGCGGGGGCCGGGCCCGCGGATGGCGCAGCGCCGGCGGCCAGGGGCGGCAGCTGGGGGGCGGTTGCTTCGCGGCAGCGCGTGGCCTCCGGTAGCGGCGCGTGCGGGCCAATGCGGCGGCGTGCGGCCGGCCTCGTCCGTGCGTAGACGCTCTACTACCAAGCAGGCGGACACCGGTGTGAGTGGGCGCGAGAGACAGACGCTACGGGGCGACCCCACAGGGGCAGGGGCTGTGGGGCCTTCTTGCGCACCCGCTCGTTTCACCTGCCTCTCGCTTTCTCTCGGAATAGGCCGAATGACCTACCGCGGCGGATGGCGCCGCAGCGTGGAGACCCCGTCCACGGGCGCTGTGAAGCTCGATGATTTGAAGAGCGGTTTCTCCTTAAACGCAGGGTGTTGACAACGCGAATTAGGCCACGAACGGATGCGGCCTATTGTTGGCCGAATTGATTCGGATCGGTGGTCTTCGAAACTCGTGACGAGCTTCGCGGCATTAAAGGCGGATTATAGCGCCGCCCCGCTATCACGTCGTTTCTTCACCATTAGAAAGACTAACGCCACTCCCACTGGCGAGGCTCCTTGCACAGGGGATCGTACAGAGGTGGGTCTCGTGGAACAATAGTGTTTCACCGATGGCCGCGAATTTTGTTGAATTGAATCATGGAGCAAATATTCAGGTCTCAATTACTGTTATCTTTGTTTCTAGCTCCCGGCGCATACGCATTTTTTGATAATGTGTTACAGTCTGGAAAAATGAATATAAGTTAGACTCTAATTTTGACATCTTTCATTTTTCATCTACGGAAGCGTTATTCAGGTCATGGAGCGCGAAGTAGACAGCTACTACTTGTAGCCAGTGTACCATGGGAGCTCGGGCGCTGCGCCCTTCTCTGCATGCGTTGAAAATACTCTATCTTGCTATTTAACAAACCAATGACTGTCAGATGATCCTCACTCACAAATGACATAGGTTTCGCCCTTTTTTGAAAGAAAAGGACTTTACGGAGACGTTTGAATACAGAGAAGCAGAACGACGAGAGAGAAGTTCGCTTGTGTTTTCTTAACGTTGTCATTTCTCACTAAACACGAAATAAAATTTAATATAAGTTATTTTTATTCGAAAACTGTAGGAATGGAATAATCAAATTTTTTACGCTTCACAATTTTGTTTGAGCACGACATTGCGTAGCGAACTGACCCGTTCAGTTTTATTTATTCCGGCAAATGGGTTACCTTTGGTGACATGTGTATGGCAAACATCTTTACACAGGACGCTATACCGAAAAGTGGAAATAGAGAAAACTGAGTCAACAAGCCACACACACAAGGGTGAGGCAACATGTGACATCATACACAAAGACTCCCTTTCTCGAATATCGGATTCCATTGACGGAATATTTGTAAAATATCCGTGCATTCGTACACAAATATAAGCACGTTCGCAATTTCGCGTACAAAATGCGATATATCATGTCTCATTTCAAAATGCCAAGACGTGTTAATTCCTACCTTCACCACTTCGTGTCAAACATTTTATCCGTTGATTGAGGACGCGTATACTCTGTTCACGTAATATCAAAATAGCACTGCTGTTTATATTCATATACTTTTAGCTATTTGCAGTTGAAAATTGTTGAATTTCCAATAAAATTTAGCTACTTATGTAAGATTGGATATATTGATAATTTTCTACTGTATGACTTACATGAGATAAAGCGCGTCCTATTTAACAAAATTACAGTACATACTCGAATAATGTTCGATGATATTTGTAAAATTAAGTTTGCGAGAATAACTCGCTGCGACTTCTTTCTAACAGCCACATCAAAACTGCGCAATATCTCGGTGATAAGTCTCCATGTAGTCCTCATTTTAGCACGTCACTATACTGACGAGTTAATCTATCTCTTCGACAATATATGGAGTGTTTAAACTGTACGTACAGTAGTACATGATACATGAAAAACCTGCGTTTTTGTAGCGTGGCAGATTGAAACCTCGGAGCTCTTAGCCTAGTTTTCCATATTCAAAGGATGTCTATGTGCATCGTGTGATAGCATACCCATCTCGACTATGTGTTGCACAGAAGGTGCTAACTAGTTTGCATAACATAGTCTCTCGTAGTTCTTTACAGTCGTTCGTGTTGCGACGTAAGGGTTTTCCGCCGCATAGTATATTCAAAATCCAATTTTATCTCTATAATCCACGTTGACACAATCGAATATTAAATACATATATGTGAACATTCTCTGCGCAACAAGCACCATTTTTCTTAACCATTACATATTATTTTCATCGGATCGTTTCTTTGGCGTTCTGTCGCTAATTTAAAACAGTAAAGCTGCTACCAACTTTCAATATATACTCAGCGCACTCTATCCATGTATCAGTATAGAACTGCGAATTGATGAAGTGCTATTCTGGATAGCGAAATTAGCAAGGGAGCATAAGTGGACCGGCCATGTACGAGGCCTATTGCACCTGATTCTCTCGCGTCCACCCATGCTGTCTTACGTCCCCGCTATCGAGCGATGATATACCTCCGCACATAGGCTCCTCGTCTCTTCCCTTACGCTCACTCACCACAGTGGCGACGTCCCATCGCCACTACTCCCAGTCCATTCCAACGCTAGAGTCCCACATGCACTTCTCTCATTCCTCCTCAAGCTTCCCTACTCCAATCTCCTGGAAAATAGTGCTATCACTATGGTTATTCGCCCCTAGCTATCTATTCTAACATGCTTTCCGTTTCGGCCCTTCGCTTAAGTGCTCCTCGCTCATGCATCCCCACTCGGCCGTCGCATGCTGCTCTAACTCGCTCACTCTCGCCTCCGTGCTGATGTCGTCCCTCTCTTGACATCTGTCCTCCACTGTATGAATGCTACTTGTCAAGCAGGTATTGCTTCTAGATATATCTAAGATGCTTATTTTATCATCGGTGTCTCTGACTCGGATCTCCTGGCCTGCTCGCTACGGCTTCCTTCTCCTGCGCGCCTACTGGGTCGTTCTGTCCCTCGCAATCTCCGGCCTCTTCGTATCGCGTCATACTCAGCCCGTCCTCGCCTCGTTCTCGTCCCCATCTTTTCCCCGTCCCTTTCGTCATGTGCCTAGCTTCTCCGCTTTCTCCTTTTCGTCTTCCAACATCTTCCCGTTTATCCGCCTCTCCTCCCGCGACCTCCCTCGTCTCACCCACGTTGGGCGGCGGCTTGCCCTTCCGCCTCTCTGACGGCGCGTCAAAAGCGAACACGACAGAGACGCCTTCTACGCCCGAGACTAGCTCAGGTGTTGCTCACGGCGTCAAACTGTATGTCACTTGAGCACGTGTTATACTGATTTCTGACAATTTTAAACCTCTTACCAAGGGGTCAATATTTTCAAATATGAATAGTTGACAATTAAAACTCTAAATATGAAGAATTTCCGGACAATGTATACTCGTAATATCGCTTGATGTAATCTAATTCAGGCTCATATGCAATTCACCTTGGCGTTTGGAGAGGAAAAATTGCTTATTAAAGTTTTTCGGTTCACCGCTCTAGTGTGTGAGATAGTCTAGGAAAAATACAAAAAGATAGGCTATTTATCCGTAGCAGGTTTCTAGTTCCGATCACACCTAAAGAATTGCCGGAGCAAGTGCCCTATATAAATCTCTCATAGGACTGCCAACGATCGCCAGAGACTATAATGCCCTCTGTCTTTAATAACCTGCTCGTATATTCTCGTGCCCGACACTCACTCGTCCCACACTTACATTGCAGTCTAGCAGCCACTGGATCACTATGTAGGGACAAGATTGGTTGGTATCCTTATGGCTCCAGCTGCAGTCACTAGTCACTGCTTAATCGCAACAGCTGCAGAGGGATTCATGATAACCTTGATGTTTATTTGGTTGCTCCAAACATTTCGAAGGACGCCTAAACGCGACGGTGTGTATCCCTTCGTTAGGTCCGGATCAGAATGAGCACGCGTGTGTTTGTGCGGAATGGTGACTCTCACCTAACTGACAAATCCAGCCCATGCGGCTGGGCCTCTTAAGGAGAAAATCCGACACTATGCCTGTCCGAATATCATTCTGATATGCGTACTTAGACATCGCTTACAGGCAAACGTGTTGTGCTCTCGTTGCCTGCATGGAAACGTTATATCTCATACAATGAGCTCTCGGCAGAAAGAACAGGTAGGTCGATGCAAATCTAAGCTGTTATGCCCGCCCAAGTTGGCGGTGTGCCGGAGGTCGCTCTGACCTTGGCATAAAGGACGACAAGAGCAATCCGCGCATAGAGCTCATCGCCTTTGGAGCAGCGCATTAGGAGCGCCCGTCCATCATGCCCCCGCGCCGCGAGGGGCTCAAAAGCGTGGCCCGTAGAACGCGTGGTTCGAGGAACTTGATTTTTGAGGTCGTCTTTCCCGACCAGAGCTTCACGCTGCCGTATTAGGCTTTAGCGAAAAGGATTTTTCATTAATCTAGAATGCCGCTGTGTTTAAAAAACAAATTTAGTCGATGTTGTCGCTTGAATTAGAGACTTTTAATCTTTAATGATTAGAACTTTTAAAAGAGGCATTGATATTTTTTCCAAAATAGAAAAATAGTAATGTAGATGAAAATCATGCGACTCTGTCAGGATCTTTACAATAACCAAAGTCGTTCGCCGCTGTATTTTCAATTTTTTCTTTCGCCCACCCCGTCATCTCTGCTGAAATTAGACCTTACCGTCGGTACGGGGTCGTGGAGAATAGACTACAGCGAGGGAATTTCTCATTTCGACGCAGGCTGACTCGATGTTGTTTGCTTTAAAACGTATTTGCAAACTTAGTATCACACGGACTTATTCTTCCGATTTTAGCCCCGTGCTGGAGACACCCTACTCCAAGCGGCGACCGGGGTGAGTGGGCGCAGAGACAGCGTACGGCGACCCCCACAGGGGCGGGGGCTGTGGGCTTCTTGGCCCCCCTCGTTCACGCCTCTCCTTTCTCGGAAAGGCCGAATGCCTACCGGGACGGATGGGCCCAGCGTGGAGACCCGTCGACGGCGTGTGAAGCTCGATGATTTGAAGAGCGGTTCTCCAAACGCAGGGTGTACAACGCGAATTAGGCACGAACGGATGCGGCCTTTGTTGGCCGATGATATTATCGGTGGTCTTCGAAACTCGTGACGACTTCGCGCATTAAAAGGCTCGGATTTGGCCCTCGCCGCTATCAACTCGTTTCTCATTGAAAGACAACGCCACTCCACTCGACTCCTTGACAGGATCGTAAAGAGGTGGGTCTCGTGGAAAATAGTTTTCACCGATGGCTGCGAATTTTGTGAATTAATATGGAGAAATATTCATTTCAATTACGTTATCTTTGTTTCTAGCTCCCGCGATCGCATTTTTATAATGTTTGACAGTCTGGAAAATGAAATAAATTAGACTCTAATTTTGACAATTTCATTTTTCATCTAGAGCGTTATTTACATCATGACGGAAGGAGTGAAACTTTGGAGTTGATACATGGACTCCGCTGGCCCTTCCTCATGTTGAAAATATTTCTTCCATTTACAAACCAATGGATGTCAGATGATCCTCACTCACAAATGAATTTTCTTTTTGAAAAAAAATTACGGAGACGTTTGAAAAGAAACAGAACGACGAGAGAGAAGTTCCGCTTGTGTTTCTTTAAACGTTGTCATCTCACTAAACACGAAATAAATTTAATGATAAGTTATTTTTTATCGAAAACTGTAGGAATGCAAATTAATCAAATTTTTTACGTTCACAATTTTGTTTGAGCACACATGCGTAGCAACTAGACCTTCCGTTCAGTTTTATTGATTGAAATGTTACTTTGTGACATGTGTATGGCAAAACATTTTAAAGGACGCAAACCGAAAAGTAAATAGAACACTGAGTACAACAAAGAAAACAAAACAATGAGGCAACATGAATCATAAAAAAGACTCCCTTTCTCACATATGATTCCATGACGGAATATTTGTAAATATCCGTCAATTCGTACACAAATATAACGTTCGCAATTCGTACAAAAATGCATATATCATTCTCATTTCAAAATGCCAAACTTTAATTCCTACCTTCACCACTTCGGTCAACATTTTATTCCTAAGCCAAAGGCGCATTTTCTGTAGTAAAAATTACACTCTTGTTTATTTTACTATTTGATTGTATTAATAATTAGTATTATTATAATTATAAGATTACATGAATAAGCATTAACAAATTATAATATATTTCATTTTTGATTATTTGCCATCATTTTTGCGCAATATCTTAAGCCAATCATACATCAATATATACGATTAAAATGCATGTATGTTTAAACTTCGAAGTACATGATACATGAAAAACCTTCGTTTTGTAGGTGCAGATTGAAACCACGTTTAGCAGTTTTCTCCATATTCAAAGGGATGTCTATGTCATCGTGGATACCATGCTCTCATTTTAAACATAGTACTCGTATTTTTTAAATCGTTTTAATATATTCAAAATCCAAATAATAAAAAAAATGAATAATATATTTGAAACACTGAAACGCCCATTTTAACAATATTTTTTTACGATCGCTGTGCCAAAAAAGTACCTCATTATTTTCAGTATCAGTATCCAAGGAATGTCTTTCTGGAAATTGAATGGGGCAAAGTGCGCAATGTCAGGGATGATCCCTAACAATTTCAGCAGCAGAGATTCCGATGCTATGTTCCATTCCAACAGCTGGGCATCGCCACTACTTAGCCCAATACGTTCTCTCATATCCTCCTCAATTCCCCCAACTATGAGTCTTCACTGTTCCCCATGTTCTAGACATGTTGCCGTTTCGCCCTTCTTCCTGCCCTGTCATCATCCTCGCCTCCTGCTCGTACCTATCTCGCCCTCGTCTGTGCCCCGGCATTGTCCTTATGACTGCCTTATTCTTGTTCCGGTCTTTTTGTCATCTGTCTCGCCTTGTCGACTGCTTCCCTTTCCTTCCCCACTTCGTCCTGCCTCGCAACCGCATCTTCCTCGCCTCAGCCGTCCTCGCCTCGTTCTCGTCCCCATCTTTTCCCCGTCTTTCGCATGTGCCTAGCTTCTCCGGCGTTTCTCCTTTTCCGTTTCCACATCTTCCCGATCCGCCTCTCCTCCCGCGACCTCCCTCGTCTCACCCCGTTGGGCGGCGCTGCCCGTTCCGCCTCTGACGGGCGCACGGCGACCCCGCCCGGCTGCGGTTGCTCACGGCGTCAACTGTTGTCACTGCAATACTTCTGACCCAGGGGTTCGAATCTCGATGATAGTATGAGTTTCGACACTATCTATATCGCTAGGTCAAGATCACCCGCTGTTTGGAGGAAAATTCTTGCGTCCCGCTGTTTTAATCGGTACTTTTCCGTGGTTTCTCCGATCAACACCTAAAGAATGCCGGAGCAGTGCCCTAATAAACGGGCCAAGGACCGCGCGCAACCCTCCTTTTTTCTTCCTAATTCTCCCCTTCCTCTCACCCACACACTTACATGCACTACACCACGACACATGTTAGGGACAAGAGTTTGTTCTGGCTGAGTCACAGCCCAACTGAAGGGAGATAACGATTGGGAAAATCCCGCAAAGCGACGTGTAGGTCGGCGTCGGATCTCACCGTCCAGCGCGGGAAGAATACCGACACTTCCTGTGACATCAACGTGTACTACACTTACGGGAAACGTGTTTGTGCCTGTTGGCGCTTGGAAACGTTAATCAATCAATGAGTCTCCGGCGGTGAGCTGCGCAACGGGCCGGCGCGGCATGGCAAAGCTCGCAGCCTCCCCGGGCGCCCGTCCATCTGCCCCGCGCGAGGCCCGCGTGCCCGCGTGTTGGTCCTGACCCCGACCAGCTTCACGCTGTCCCAGTGGCCCCGCGCGCCGCGCCGCGGGTAGGGGGTGGGCGGCGAGCCGAGCGTGCACTCGTTTATGCCGTATTTGCAAACTTGTTCGCACGGCCTACCGTACGCAGTGCGGTGTGACTGTTTCGTTGCAGTAACAGCCCACTGCGGTAAACGGGCTCTTGCAGTCGCGGCGAACTCGCGGATTTCTGTGAAGGTCCCTAAATGCTTTTTATGATCACGTCATCGAGACTTCTGTCTAACTCTAATGTCAGATGGGTTATAAAGTGTGTACACGGAGTCTCAATTCACCAACCTCTGTAGAGAGTAAAACCGCCAAATCTTCAAACTGAACCGACAGCATTTATTCTCTGTTGGTATCTATGGTAATCGAGGGATATTAAGATGCAGTTTGCATTCTTAGGACCTAGATTGCAATGGTTGGAGCGTAATACACTATTAACGCGTATTAATGTTTATGATTTGTAAAGCCTCGCTATATATTGCGTTATTACGAAATGTTAAGACTATAAATTCGTATTGAAAACTTTTGTGAATTCAGTATTTTCATACTTTTGCAGAGATTGGTACGGAAAAGCAAAGAACATGCCGTACTCTTCCAGTGACCCATAATCTAACATCCTTCGACGAGGGGACGAAATGAACAAAACTTTAAAAATAATTTTTTGCTACTACAAAACCATATCCCATACGATCTCCGAAACAGAATCGTCTCAATGCAAAACCGTCGACTCTCACCTGGTGCGTAAGTATGGCATTATTACGTGACCTTGTGCCACCAGAAAAAATTCAATAGAAGAGGCATTGTATATAGAGAATGAATGGAGAAAAATAGCCTCTATTGAGAGACACTCATTCACAATTTATGTCTGCTGCCTTGAATGAAAACTTTACGAATAGGACTGCGCCATTTACGAACGCTGCATTTTAAGTAGATGAATGAGAGTTGAGCAGATCCACATGAAGTTCATTATCTCCCTTACAAAAGACGCTGCTCACTTATTGAGGTCGAACTTGTTTTTATTTTGCTTTTTGTTGTTGTTTTTTAAACATTTTTAATGAAGAAAATGATCATTCAAAATGTAATAAAGGTGAAAGTTATTAGTTAACTGGTAAAATATATGTATTATCTCCAATTTTTCATTTAAATTTGTTATAAGCATTTCGCAGTCTAGTTAAATAATATAAATTCACGATTGTTAAATTCGTTTTTGTAGCTTCGGCAATTTATTAATAACCTAATTATTTTACTATCACTATTATTATTATGCGTACTACTACCGCCAAGATTGCTGTTTAGTTATTTCTGTGAAACTACCATCCTCTTTTTGAGAGGAATAAGGTATGATTTTCCCAATAAATATGTTTTCATAATATACTCTACATTTTGGGAAACTTTTTGTTTATAATAACAAATAGCCTACGGCTATTTGTATGTATGAAACAATAGTTAGCACAGGTAATACGAGTTAAAGATTAAGACTTTTCTTTTGACGTAAATGTAAATCATAGTAATTCCATTGCAAAAGTCGACATAAATTATTTGAAAATATCCTTTCTCCTGCAGTATCATTATGTTCTATATAGGAAAATTCCACATTCGCACTACAACGGCGTATTCAGACGTCCGTTCGTGTTTAATAAATCAGTAGTTACACGTTGATTTTAATGTTAAAAACAAAACAACTAAAATATGAAGAGGGATAGAAAATCTGCATAATTGATCGTCGTTGAGGTTATATGAACAACAATAATGTATAAATTAACTTTTTCTCTCTGATTAATGAAGTTAATGACCACAGTGGACCACGTGGTTCCTCCTCATGCTTTGCACAGTGTGTACTAAGTTAGGCTCTGGTAGCGCATGGCACACAATGCACACATTAACGACGTGTAAGCAAAACAGTAGAAAATGAATCTATTAGTGTGTTGGGAACTGCGTTCTGTGGAATCTGTCGAACGAAGCATCTCCACAGAATTGACTTCAGAATTGCGAAAGTCTAAGTACCATCGTTCTACAACCTAGCGCGTA